CGGGCCTTGATGCTCGACGTTCAACATCACGCGGAAATATTTTCATTATGTAGCCTTTGACTGCAGAATTATTGCAAAATGAGAGTGCTAGCACCTCATTTTTGCTATAGGAAATGCATATGCTGGATTCACCCTGCATCCGATTTGCGTCGTACGACGCACATCGGATGCAGGGTAAATCCAGCGATTGATTGCACAGGATTCACGCCACGCGCTCGCGTCGCCGCTATCGATTACGCTCGTCGGCTCGGTCGGCTCGTGCACGCGGCGCGCTGCCATGTTCAATGGTTCAATCACGAGTCACGAGCGAGCGATCGACGAGCGTACCCGACGACTGTACCACGTGATCGTGGTTTACAAACGGCCGTTGTGGCAAACTGCCCGAGAGCGTGCGGGGTACCCCTTCTCTCCGCGTTCGTACGCACGCGGTACTCCGTACGTGTATCACGCATACGTGGAATTGACGTTCGGTGTGAAGAGCGGTGAAAAGGGAACGCCGCGCGACGCAGACGCTTCTGCGGGACGTTTGTGGTACAACTTGAAATCACCTAAAATCGTCAGCCGTAGATCCTATCAGATCCTACCGCCTGACTCTCTACCGTACCCAGTACATATGTGCTAATCACAGATCTTTAAACTACGGCGCCGCTAATCGGTGTGTGCGTGTGGTGTGCGCGTGTGTGCCGTATGCGTGCGTGCATAACTGTGTGGGTTGGTGTGAGTGCGCGATTACCGTTTTTCGTGAAGATGTTACGTTTACCTTGCTCTTATCGCTGAGCAAATTATACTGGATCAAGGAGAATCGTTCACCTGCTGTTGGATGCCTTAATTAGGTTTACCTTTTGATCATTATGCTTAGGTATTTCAAGAGCATAAGCTGGAATGTAAATGAGTACGTTTATTGTAAAAATTGTAAAATGATTTCGCTCTGGTTACATGAATCTTCAATTCTGATACAGACTAATATCTATTTTTATGATCTACCAACGGAGATTAAAGTTAATCTTACCAGTATAGATTAACTATAATCTCGGTCTAATTTACTCTTAAATAGTGAAATTATTTCATTTTTTTTTTTTTTAAACATAAAGGTATATTATATTTTTTACTTAAATATTTCAAGCTTGTGTATGTCAATTAGAACATAAATGAGTAAGGACAAGGCAGTGTAGAGTATATTTATTAACACAGTGAAATAATTGATTCATAAACTCAATTTTAATTGTAAAGTTATTAACAATAAGAACAGGACTGTCACAAATGATCAAGTTATTTGATTAAAAATATACAGATATATTTATATTGTTAAAAAAAGTAATGATAATATTTTTTTTGTAAATATTGTAAAACAATTAATTTCTAAATACTCAACTTTGATTACAAGACTTACGATTAAACAGGACCTTCGCAATAATGATATTATTTGATTAAACGTAATTTGTTTCATATTGTTAAAATATCTTTTACACATATTCCAAGCTTGTGTAAGCAATTAGAACATAAATAAATAAAGATACATAACATTATAAATATTATAAAATAATAGATTCCAGAATACTTAATTTCTATTGTAAGACTTATATAGTTAGTGTCATCGCAAACGATAAATTATTTGATTAAGGATAAAAATATAATTTATATTATTAAGAAAATATCTTTTATTTAGGTATTCCAAGCTTATGTAAGCAATTTCTACATGAATAAGAACGTACCAGTGGAGTGCTGTAAAATAATAAAGATTGTAAAATAGTCGATTCTGCGCTGATTTATGAATTTTCAATTCTTCTAGCCAGATTTGCAGTTTAATAGTATTATTATAAATGATGAAATTTTTTTATTAAAGATAAATTTTTTAAGAAATTATTAAGAAAATGTTTTGTCTATTAATTATATTTTTTATATTGTATTCAGGTGCTATTGCATTCCACTGTAATTGTACATTTATGAGGAACATGGATAATATGGTAATTCTATGGGATGTTATCTATATAGTTCAAGAATGAGAATATGAAGAGTAGTAGCCAGAAGGAAGAATCCATTGATAAAAAGAAATATGTGTTCTTCTCGGATCCAGATGTTATTGCCAAACGCGCCGAGACCTCTGCTGTTGTGAGTGATTTTTACTTGTTATGTTTTTGCTTGTAAACATATAAAATTCCATATGACGTTTTCATTGTAGGCAGCACAGATTACCCGAGAACTCGAGGCGCAACAGAAGACTTTTGAAAAGCAATCAGCTGATTTGCAATTGCCTGCAATTGGCATAAAGAGCTTAAAAAATTTGATATCCTATTATCCTGTACAGCCATATCCTTTTACATTTATTAGCGCAGTAAAACAAAAACTCGCTTTAGAAGAGCATTTTGATATCGGCGGTAAAGTACGTGAGTCAAGTTCTCAAGCAAAAAACAATTTGACTTCTTCGATATTGAAAGCAACTAGTACACAAAATTTGACTGCACAAAATCAAATTATACAAAAAATGGACTTCATTAAACCGCTGAAAGTACCCGATCTAAAAATTTCTCCAAAAGCGCTGGATTTCTCCAGCAGAGAGAATTCCGTTTCAAAGGAGCTGTCTTCAGCAAAGTCTGAAATAGCTACAAAAGAATTTGCACACGATAGATCTGACAAAGGCCTAAGAACTGGTGAAAGAGTACAGAGAAAATTAGACTTTTCTTCAGATGGATCGTCATTTATTAATTGCGAAAGCATAGAACCATTGAAAGCACCAAATGTCTCTATAGCGTCTAATTTAAGTAAAAAGAAGGATCATGTTAGAGACAATTCCAGAGAGAAGGAAAACAGATCCAAAAGGATGAAAAAGGACGACTCTTCGTGTGCGAAGAGGGATGAATCCATGCAAGACCAAGTAAAACGCAGTCGAAGTCCAAGACACATCTCCAGAAAAGATGCCAGTGATATAAGCAATTTAAAATTACCAAAAAATGATAGACCATTCCATGTTACAAAAGTTAATGACGTTTTGTCGGTAAAATCAAAAGATAAAAGTTTTGTATCGTCTATTGTTAAAAAGGATAATGACAAAAGACAGAGGTCCTTCAATGCACAGTCTGTAGAATTAACAAAAGATAATCTTCCGGAATCTAAGGTTCGAATATCTAGTAATGAATCACCAATTACTCATCCTTGGAAGGCACTAGATAAAGTTACATTGAGAGATAATATGGGCGTTTTATCTAGCACTGAAAATAAATCTAAAGACATAAGTCACTATTTTTTAAAGCAAAAGTCTGAAATAGAAGACCTGAAACATAAATCTGATTCAGATAATAGACTATTGAAACAAGATAAATTGAATACTATGTATAAGGAGCAAACAAAAAGAATGTCTGATAAAAATAAAATGTTAACGAATAAAGGCGAAGATAAACTACACAGCGTCAATTCAGAGCAATCAGAAGATATTGAATTTATGTCTGAAACAAATAGTTCCAGAAGTCGAATAAGTGCGTATCCTACAAGTTCTACACAATCATCAAAAAGTAAAGATATCGAAGCAGCTATGGAAAGTAAACAGAACATTAATTCTGCTAGATCAACTAAAACTTCAGAGAATTTTAAATATACAGAACATTCCATGACGCAATCTGCAAGCACAAGCGTTAAAAAAGACGAGGAATCGTGTTCCCAAAGCATTACAACTAAAAAAACGACTACTAACGATGATTTAAACGATGTGGATGACACTACACTGCCAGAGGCATTGTTTGATTCTAGAAGAATCTCTCTCAGAGCCGGTTATTCTCAACCAGAATTTCATAATTTAATGACGCCAGAAAAAATGAATCTTATACTCAGATCTAAACGAAGGAAATATTTGACGCAGAGCAGTGATTCGGAAGTAGATGCAAGATGCCCAAAATACAAGCCAACAATAAAATCTGAGGAGGAACAAGATGAAATACAATTGGTAAATATAAATACATTGTCGTTTGTTCATTCACAATAGTACAGTTTTAGTAAAATAAAAGTGCATTGGAATTTCAGCTACACCCAACAGCTTTGCATATGCAATTTCAGGCAGAACTACATCTTTACGATTCTTACAATGAGTCCCTCCGACAAGTAATGGATGTTGAAAAGTGTTTGTACAATACTAAGTGTGAGATGCAAGAACAAAAGAAAGCCGATGAAAAAGATGAAGAAAAAGTCGTACAAATTGTAGAAGATTGTGCAGCTGCAGTAATTAATAACGATGCTGTTGAAAAAAGTAAGAAATCTATTGTTAGTGGAATTATATATAAATATATTATATTAAACACATTCGAAATTTTTCTTACAGCAACATGGAATCCAGCTGATTATGTAAAAAAAGACATCGCCGAACCTCGAAAATCAAGCGATGAAACGCATTTCAATAGAGAGCATTATATCCCAAACCAAGGCAATGTTGATGAATCGGGTTATGGATTTAATTATGGAAAGTTTAATAAAACGGTGGGGGTCAAAGTGGCGGAGGTACAAACGCAAACGGTGAACGATATAGCGACCCAAACGGATATATCTGCGGACGAACGAAACGCACAAAATAGATTGACAGAGATCCGTGACAGAGAAAACGTGTACGAGTCATTTTTGAGAGAAAACAAAGTTCCCCAACTGTCCTTGGATTCGGCTGAACAATTCGAAGATTTAGATCAAATAGAACAGGCATCGGTGCCCAGCAGAATAAGGACCATGTCGGAGATTAGTTTGCATGAAACTACCTCGTCTATTAAAACGGAAACTGGAACTGAAATTAGTATCTCAACTCGAGGTGTAACATGTTCATTTAATCAGTATATAGGTTTAGAGGTAATTCATTATATATATATATATATATATATATATATATATGCACGTATGCTTGTATTTGTAATTGTGGATATTAATTGGATATTTTTTTATACTTTCTTTTACAGATAGCACGACTCTTAAGAGACGAGAATCAACGAAGCTATCAAATCGAAGAGTTATTCAAATTTCGTGAAAAAACATTAAATGAGGTAATTCATTATATATATATATATATATATATATATATATGCACGTATGCTTGTATTTGTAATTGTGGATATTAATTGGATATTTTTTTATACTTTCTTTTACAGATAGCACGACTCTTAAGAGACGAGAATCAACGAAGCTATCAAATCGAAGAGTTATTCAAATTTCGTGAAAAAACATTAAATGACAAAACTAAAAAATTAGCGGAATTGGAAGAGCAAAAACGCGTAATGAAAGATACTGGCCAAGACGCCCGTTCCTTGAAAAAAAAACAAAGAGCTCTGCTTCTAAAATTACAACAAGAAAAAGATGAAATTCAAAGGTAAGTAACATTTATGTGACTGTATATTATAATTTTGATTTATTGTGTTAAATTTTTCTGTTTATTGACAGATTAAAATTATTATACGAAATTACAAGCCAAGAACGAAAACGTATGTTGCAAAAACAGAGGGACATGTTTAATTTGCAAATGTCAACGAAGAATATCTTAACGAAATTAAAGAGGACCGCAGACAGTCAATCGCCGAGAAGATTATCAGGTCCTATGAAGGGTTACGATATACGCAGTAATAGTTCTATGAGTTCTTTGATTGATTCGGATAAATCTCTGCATGGTCAGATGGACACACGCCTTCATGCATCTGAAAGCGACACATCTAAATTTGATTGGTTGAAGTCCAACATATTTATAAATTTAGGCGAAGAAAGCAACACATCCGCGGCAAAATCTGATGACTTAGTAGCTGAGAATAAGGAGCAAGAGAAAAGCCCCATACAAAAGAAAAGCGATTTATCGAAATATGAATTGAGGTCTCGGAAATACGAAGAAAAAATGCCCAGAGCAGATGTTTTGCTGCAGAAGCAAAATCAGAGGTTGGACATGGAGTCGAAAATGAAGCAAAGCCATCCCATGATGATAAATATTCGACTCTTGGAAAATCAAGATCAAATCAGATTATCGCAGTCATCGAGACCAGAAGTAGATGCATCAGTATCTAAAAATGTAAAATCCGAATCTGATACGTTAGTAGAAGAGTTGTCTAAGAGATCGTCGTTAGCAGAAGTGGTGTCTAAACATTCAAAACTATCGCAATTATCAGAGCCTTCCATACAAACCTTGACAGTCGCAAAGGAGAAAGAATTAACTTCTAATGCTGTAACCACCAATAGTGAATCTATAGAAGAAGAGATCAACACAATAGCTCAAGACACAGTTTCAAAAACGATGCAGTCACAAATCTCCGAAATATCACAGGCAAGTGCGAGTAAGAATTCTAAGAAGATTGACAAATCTGTCACGAGCGATAGAGACATATCTAAAAAGTCGCAATATAATACCGAGCTAAAAACAAGCTCCAAACGTAAAAATTCTAAGTATCAGAAAACGAAATCATCTTCCACTATATCAACGGAAAATATATTGGGGTCCAAATCAAGCTCTCATATATTCGAGGAATTTGTCAAGCATGATAAAGGAACGAAAGTGAAGAAGGAATTGCTGCTTCAGTTAGTTAACAACAAAGAAAGTTCAATCTTGGGTGAATTAGATGTTAACGAAAGTCAAACTTCGCTTCAGGCATTCGTTAAGAAACATTCGCATTCGAAAGCTGTCAAGGATAAAAGTTTGAAATTATCGAGCGAAATAACAAATGAGAATAAGGAAAACGGATCCACTCAAACTTCGAATAAAAAACTTGAGAATGATGATAGTCTTTCCAGGATCGAGCGAGATACTCAAAATGCATCAATATCTCATATTAGTACTTTTGCCGTTTCCCATCATAGTTCCGAAGAAAGTGAGAAAAATCTCTCGAAATCCATAGTTGTTAGATCGCAAGACAGAGAATTTGAACGGTAAATGCACGTGTATATATTCATTTATCACATTTTTTCTTTTCTACTTTAAATTATTCGAAAACTGTTATTTAACGCGATATACGTGCGTTCCGCTAATAAAATGTTGAATCACTAAAGTCGTGCGCTGGAAAGTCTAATAATAAACTGTGCACATCTCCACGCCACATCGAGTAAAGCATTGTAAAAATAGATTCTCTGCAAAGGCAATCCGCATAACAGGCATGCACATGCATATTCTTGAAACTGTACATTTTCTTCTGTTCTCTTTAGAATTTTGAACGCACGCGAAACCGCACTTACATCGCGTAAGAACTGCGTCAAAGAGTGGATGGCGTGGCATGCAAAATTACGAGCAGAAGAGGACCGTGTTACTCGTATGGAGCAGACAGCATTTAATCTCGTTGCAACAGCATCTAATTTGGGTCAGCAAGGAGGGGGTAATATAAATACACTTATATAAAAGACCAATTAATTTGCATTATAACGTATGCTAGTTCTTTTCAATAAATTTTACATTAAATTGTAACTATGAATTCAAAACAAACGAGTTTCAAGTTCTTTGCGGATATTATAATAATTATGACAAATCGTTACTTTATTAAATATTAATTAAATGTAGCTTTTTTTGCATAATTTCAAACTCTGATCACGATCAGAGAGACGTCTGTGTTCTTTCATAGATACCACCCTGTCGTCTGATACGAGCGATGTCGAAGGAAGGATAGGAGTTCTTACTGAGAAATTAGCGGAACGACGTCTCGAAATGACGCGTCTAAAAAGAGAAGCAAAGAAGCAAGCGAAGAAACAGCTACGTGCTTTGGAAGCAAACCTGTTAAATCAAATTAAAGTAAGTGTATATATACATAGATAATCATTTGATTATTATTATAACTTGAAACTTCGGTTTATGTTATGACAGAAATATGACACGACCATCCATGAGATGCGCAAAAAGTTGGAATCGAAGAAAGATATCAAAGAAATTGACAAGTTAGCTATAGAGCCAAAGTCATTAGCTGACTTTAAAGTACCTGAAATACCGCTTAAGAGGATACAGGACATCTACAAAAGTAGCGATTTATTAAGATCCAGGTCGGAATCTGATCTCCTGTTAACGAGAAATCGGCAGGACTTGTCGAGAGTCGTAACGATAACATACGATGATAAGCACGAAAGGGATAGTTTTCAGAAACCTACAAAATTCGCGGATATTAAGAACGCTTTAGAATTAAAAGATACTATAGATTCTCACGATAGCGTTCGAACTATTTTGGACGATTATACGTCGACAGAAGTATACGAAAAATTTCAAACAGTACCTTCAGCATCATCGACTTCGAATGATGCACGTTCTGGAAAATATGCTCTTTCTAAAAGACAAGTCGGAGAATTCACTTCTGTTGACATAAAACCAATTAGTGTATTGCATGATACGGAAGATGTTGAAACAAATGCCAGTACGGTGCAAACAACATCGGATGCAAGATTTGAAGATCACAGTACTATTAACACTGAATCGGCAGATGATATATTAATCACTGATATCAATCAATCTCAATCAAAGACTTCCACAATACTATCCGACTTCCGAGTTTCCGAGGTTCCGGAAATAACAAACATTGAATATTCTAAATCTATTCCGAGCAAATCCGAGCATTCTACTGAAAATATTGCGCGTATTACTGATTCCAGTATACTTACTTATTCGAGAAAATTAGATTTTCTGCAGTTAAATAATAAAAATTTAAGCGAAGATATAAGTTCTATCGAAAAGGATATAAAAGCGCTTTCAGAAATAATGTCGCGTTTAAGTAACGAATCGAATGAGAAGTCCAAAACAAATAACGACGAAAAGAATACATCGCAAGATATATCAGAAATAATATCTAAATCAGTTTTTAGTGAAGCAATTGATACTGAAAATGAGGAACAGCAAGCAGTGTCACCCGATAAGAAAATCGATATGGAATCTAGGTCCATATCGTTAAATAATAGAAAATCAATATCTTCCAATGATTTGAGCCATGATAAATACATATCGGACAGAATAAATAATGAGATATCGGCAATGATCCCGGAAAAAGCACCTACCATTTCTAATTCGCCTCATGAAATCGATTACGAAGCCAAAAGCCGAGAGATTATGAATGAAATAGAGAAATCTGTACTATCACAACACATTAAAATTGCAAGTGGCGACAATTCAATATTAGAAGAAAGCGGAAACGAAGAATTGCTGAATAATTTGGCCTCCGAACTCGATATAAAATCGATTTCTGAAATCCTTTCCAAAGTATCAGAAAGTAGAAAAAGTCTTGATTTTGTGAAGAATACAGCAACTCAAATTATCGATGATTCAAAGAAAAATATACATAAACAAAGTGAGTTGAATGAAGTAATAGTTGAAAAAGGCTTTGTAAAATCTCAAGCGGAAGAAATACATTCTCTGAAACTTTCCGAACAGTTTAACACTGCATCAGTGCAATCTCCTATTATCGCTGGTCACCGTTCAAAGGAAAGTATATCGCAAGGTTCCTGGAGCGCACCCAGTTTAATTTCAAGTCAGAGCTCGCACGTTCTTGCCGGTAAGGATTTGAAATCGTCAAGGAATATTCCCGAGACAGAAGTCAAAATTGACTTCGTGGATGATGTGAGGATATTAGAGAACCTTGGTGAAAATATTCAAATAGAAGTGCTCGACAGTATCACAAATTCAATAGCACTTGCATCTAACGTTGATCAAAATCGATCGCGTACGGTCAGTGCGGAGAATATTTCTAAGGATAAAAACGACTGGACGACGTCCGATTCGTTCGAAGTGCCGCAAGATGATATTAGCACTGGAGTACGTGAAGAATTCGAGAATTCAAAATCAGGCTTGGACGATACTTTGAATAATTTCTCGGAAAAGACTGTATCACGTGTCGATGATATAACAAATCAAGAAGCAGAAAGCATTTTAATAAACGACATGTCAGGTTTTCTTCCAAAGGGGGAATCTACAAACGTCGCAGTACAGGACGTTACGTTTAACGACGCATTAGCACAATCTTATGTTGCAAGAAGTAACGATGAACTTGACGATATACTGGACATAATCGCTAGAGAAAATGATAAAGAAAAAAGCATTCCTAAAGACGAAGAATTTGATAACGTAATCTCTGATTCCATGGCTGAATTATTAGACAGAGTTAAGGATATTGTGGAAAATGACAAGAATGTGGATAGTCGGTTTAAAGGATTCTTATATGATATTGATATGAATGTAAATAATCAAACTGAGGTAGTTTCAGATATTTCGTTGTGTAATAATAAAACGCAAAGAGAAACAAATGTACGAGATGTAAGCGAAAGTAATGTAATCTCAGAGAATATCTCTAAAAATAACAAAGATAATAATCGTGAGGAAATAATAGATACTTCGTTACGGAAAATCGACGAAATTGACGATAAATCTGCCGTAAATGTAAACTTATGTGTGGAAATCGATAACGAAGAAAGTCTACGCGAAGCGGTATCGGAAGTACAAGAAATTATAATCACGGAGTTGGATTCAAGTAGCGCCGAGGATAACGCATTATCTGAACTTGAAATTGATGCCAAAGTCGAATTGGCAGAAGAAGAGGAATCCACCACGTACGAGGACAATAATGAACGTGCTGTGGAAGAAAACAAAGACATGCCTGTAGAGATAAAAGAATGTTTAGAATCAATCTCGGAACAAGATAGTTCGGATGGCGAGCAGTTGGACAATTTAGTGGAAGTTGTTGTGAGTGGATTGGATGTTGTGGAAAAAACTGTTACATTACGCGATTCTCCTAAGTCGGTAATAGATGATGCAGCCCCTACAACTGGACAAACTAAAGAAGAGATTATGGATGATACAGTCGAGAAGAATAACGAGGCCGTGATATCAGACGCACCAGTAATTGGAAGTATCAACAAAACATTCGACATATTGAAAGATCCAGAGTACGAAGACATCTCCGAGGAGAGTCTCGAGGTATCTGAAATTCTAGATAAAGATGATCTTTCAAAGGTAGGCATCACAAAGAAGTCTGCTAATTTGCCGGAGAGATATCAAACTATCCATAAATCAGAGGACGTATTGAGAATACTAGACGAAATCTCGCAGAAATCATCGTTCGATTCTGTAAGCAATTCGCAAAACAACGAGAAGAATGCCCAGAGCGCGCCAAGTGCCACGGAAGAAATTAGCGAGGTTCTGGGTGCAGAGATTTCTGCGGAGGATGATAGTTCATTTCCCGAGATGAATAAAACAACGGGGAAGCTCGAGGAAGAATCTTCCAAGGTGGACGCAACGAAAGGTCGATTCTTGGAAAGAGCAAAATTGCAGGACGGGCAATCGATAGAAGCTAGTGACCAGGATGACTTATCTGAGAAGAGAAAAATGATTCCTTTGAAATTGGATGAGGACGACAAGTCTTCTCAGATAATATACGAGCTACGCGAGAGAGTCTCGCAACTGCAGGAACAGAATGGCTCGTCCGAATCCAGCGAAGCCGGTGATACTCCGAGGGGAGTATCCGAGATCGAGATGGACTCGCCGAGAGATTTCAATGACTCGCGGTTAGATATTGATATTTTGGATGATGACCTACTAAGCGGCACTAAAGCGACGAATCAGAACATCGATATGGAGACTAATTTCCATTCTGCGTCCATTGTCACTACGTCCGAGAAGGATATCGAAGCTATGATCTACGAATTAAAAGGTATTCTCACTAATCTTTCAGTAATTGAAGTAATATTAGAATTATATATATATATATATTTATATATATATATATATATATATAAAGATAGAAATATAGTAAACAATATACAGAATCATTAGAATCAACTATAAATTCTGCCATATATCAATTCGAACTCTACATCTAATGTATGAATCAGAGTATCGATTCATCCTATGCTATAGTACTCATCCGTCCGATTGTATATATTTTTCAAACTTAAAACGTTATGTGTGTTATTATAAAAGTTATATAAATATTGTAACCGCTATCGAATGGATGTCTGGTCTAACAGGATAATTTAATCATGAACGTTGCAAAACAATAATTTTTATGAAAGATGTTATTCGATTGAATTGCAAGAATCAAATAACATATTTCAAAGCAAGCCAACCTGTATATGTTGAGAGATAGTGAATCTTTTTTTTTCTCTTTTTACAAATTACTGTTATCATTCTCGATCGAAATCATGCAATGCAATTTTTATGTGGGCTGACCATCTCAGAGACACTCGATACATATTTACACATCTCGATCTATACATATTATATACTACAGAAACACCTTTTGTTTTTTATAATGGCTGTGTGCTCTCCTGTGCAAAAGCGTTGCCTGGTATAGCCGTGTGTTGTTTATTTTCAGACAAATAACAAAGTCGAGATTATATTTGTCTAAAGGTAATACACGAAACTACGAATGATGAACATTGACTTGTTATCTCTGTACAAATCAGTGTCGCATGAAATGCTTGATCCTTTCATTATTGATCCGTATGCGCACAAGAAAGGCCTGTAAATATTATGCATCACACACAATTATTCATCGATTACTATCTATTCTTCTCTTCCCTCCGAATCTGTCAGAAAAGGTTTACTATCGTGTACAGATGTTATATGGAATGTTCAACCTTGTCACAGCTTTGTATTATTATATATATATATATTTACATATATATGCATTAGAAACATTTATTCGATATATCTTCCTTTTGTCCATTCCTTTCCTTTGAGCACTTTCAATTTAAGTATATGAATTGTGAATTCCCGATGTAATGTGAAAGCTCGTGTTGCTTTTCCCGATAAACTTGTCTCTTTGCCTGCCTATCGTATTTATCTATATGTATATTTCTTGCTTATTTCGTACAGCTTCATTGGAACAACCTGGTCAGGAGCTCGCCGAATTGGAAGCTAAGCTGCTTCGAATCGAACAATTGCAAATCGAGTTGGAGGTACGTATCCCGTGTATGATCCAATTGTTGCAAATACAGACACTCGACGTGAATGTATATGTAACTATTTTTAAGATCAAGAAATTGGAAGCAGAGGAAGTGTCTTACTACGTTCGAGAGATACCGAACAAGCCACCTCCTCCTTATACTCCACCTGGTCGGTTATCGGCTTCGCTCGGTTCGCCTTCGCTAATCACTGCCGTAATCCCATCAAATGTTGAAGAGCTAACATCATTCACTGAGAAAGCCACAGCTCTGATATACAACGCTAAACTGGCCGGTGAAGATATTGCGAGTTTGGAAGCACCTCCTGAAATCTACGAGTTGACCGAAGACAAAAGTGAGAAAAGGGATAGGCGGATCTACAACACTTTCCTTTTCGATCTCTGTAAAGAGACCATTGTGGAAGTCTATCGAGCGGAATATGAGAAGCCTGGTCCGAGTTGGACAAAACCGAACGTGAAAACGAAGCCTACGATGAAGATCCCAAAGAACGTCGAGGAACTCGTCGAGTACGTTAACAAGGAAGTCGCCACACTGTTCGGTTTCAAGACAAAATTGCAGCGGGAAAACATGGTGATGCGATGGAGTAGGAAACGCAGAGACAGGGTCGACGAGTTGCTGGCGAGAGAGGCTCAGGCTGAGGAGGACGAATGGACAAAGTTTCATCACGACGAGCTGGCAGTAAAGAACGGACTTACAGTAGCTATACTGGATACCCTCATGATAGAAACTGCAAACGTGATGAAAATAGCATATGGTAAAAAAAGGAGAATGATGGTATAGCGATTGTTAACCTTTATAACTAAATAGAGGCACTATCTTGCAATTCATTGTTAATTAAAACGAACAAAAGTGAAAAATATCCTCTCAGTCAATGTTTTCTCAAGACTGCGTTTCGGATATCACGTTATTTGCACTTTTGTCCATTAGTACCTTAAGTGTAACATAGGCTGGTTCCTATTTATTTGTTAACTATGCAATTTGTTACTCTTCTTTCTTTTATATTAAATTAATTAAGCGGAAGCGTGTGAATGTTCAAATATAAGTAGACAAACCACAGTGAGGTGAAATATATGAATGACAGAAAGAATGAGAGAGAGAGAGAGAGAGAGAGGGGAGGGGGGATATGTAATTAATACTAGCCATTCACAATTTGATAATCAAATACCCTAGGTCAGTTTTAAAATTTATTTCTTGTTAATGACGAGTTTAACGAGTTTCTAGCGTTTAACAATAATTATACATATGTACGGGCTATCATAAAAGAGACATGTGGTACTATACGTTTTTACGAAAATGACAAATATTAATCATCGAATATTACAAAGCGTTTTGTTCAATTTAACTTGCACATAATTATTAGATTAATAGCAGAAATATGATCTCTTGTTATACAAGTTTTATATTTTGCTTCGTCTATATATAGTGCGTGTTATCAAAATATTTATGCTGTAGTTTATCGAAATTGTATAATATATTATCCTATACACGCGACATTTATGCATCATAATTGAACGAAACGTTTTTTGGATTGCCGTATGTAAATCATATTTTAGCGAAATAATAGCACATAAGTAGCAAGTTTCAATAAGTCACGTTGGACAGCAGTCACATGCTCAATTACTTGTAATGAAATTAACAAAATTCAAACGGAAAGACTGACATTTCGGGGCCATTTTGATCGAAATTACGAACCGTTGAATGAAGTACATAGTTGGAGATTGTAGCAAACGTCGACTATACAGGGTGCATGAACATTTTATTTTGGAAAAATTTTTCTTCTCATTTTATATGTAAATATATATAATTATATATATATATATAAATATATAAAATGCTTTCAAATGTCTCTAAACCATGTCTTATGTGCTCCATATATTGGTTTTTAAATTTTACGAAAGATTAATTCTTATTCTTTTAATAAAACTATTCGCGTATACAGGCCCTGTAATCATGTAGAATATAGAGTCAAGATTTGAGTCCTATATACAGTCATTACATTTACTCTTTTTATCGACGAAACTACCTGTTAATGGACTGATAATTGATCAATATGCGTTTTAATTCAATCGCGTCGCCTTTCTGTTTCACTCGTGTAGTTATTTTATGTTCGTGGTTGTGATGTAAATGTTAAGACTCACGGGAATGCGACGGTGGCACATTAAATACTGTAATGGGCAAACGTAACTCTTATCATCTTCAGCATTATGGCATTGAATGTGCTCCGTCTTGAAATTCCTGTACGCTGTAGAAATATAAATACTACAGCGTTCAAATGCGACGTCCAGCGTTGTTCCTTTATACGCGGGTAACATCGCTTTTTGTAATTTTAATTAGAGCGTAATTTTTACTAAAACTCCCATGTGCAGGCCGCCCTGATGAGCCTTTTTCCATTTGCAGGGTACTCTTATGTAGAATTGTTCACAAGTCTCTTTATATTAATGATTCTCGGCCGCGTCAGTAGTTGTTACAGAGATTGTTTACGTATGTAGTGTTGAATATGTACTTAACTAAGGTATATTTTATAATAAACTTTTTCTGAAAAGAGAAAAATACATCTTTCTATTTTCCACACACGTATAAGATAAAAAGATAAATTAATAATATCTATAAATAAAATAATTCTCTACTATAATATATTTAAAATATCGAAATTTCAGTGCAGAATTAAGTAAAATATTTGGAAATAATGATTACAATGAATGAAAAGAATGACAATAAACTTGAAGGATTTATTTGATATATGAAACACATAGAATCTAAATATGGAAGACTGGTTTTTAAAAAATAAATTACACATAGTTGTTCATATTGTATTATTTTGATGATTCATCCATTCATAAGCGTACAAGATTTTATATAATTATAAAGTATATTCCTGTATCATAATCCGATTAATGTGACAAATTTTTTCCATATTATTTTGCAGGGTATTTGCAAATCCTTCTAAAATTAATTAATTTAATAACATTCTAGATACATTTTCTGCTATTTTTTAAAATTAGGAATCGATTACAAGTAGAAATTATGAAAATTCTTGACATAATGTAGACAAGTCCTTAATCTTTAATTTGCAGCTGCAAATAGTCGAAAAAATCAATAAAGAAACTATAAAAAGAATAAAATTAACTAAATGCGAGAGAGAGAGAGAGAGAGAGAGATTTACGTATATTTTTATAAGATAATAATAAAGTTGTAATCGCAAGATTGAATAAAATCAAATAATTCGTTTTTGATAAAGTAGGATGCATTATACGTAACAAAATACCTAATACCTAGTATATATTAATACATAAAAATAAAAAAAATAAGTATATATACACATATGTATATGTATATATACACATATGTATATGTATATATATTTGTATATGTATTATATATCTATATGTATATAATATTAAATCGTTCAACGATTTGTCATTTCAATAGAATACGTGAAAATGACTAGATTCGATTCTTTAATGCTTCAGTACTGAAAAAAGTTAAAAGTTTAATACACGTACACACATGCATCGATAGCATATCGGATTATTGCACGCATATTAAGCTCAAGTCTGTAAAGTATGAACTTTAGCCAAAAAGTTAGCCTTACACTGAGCAGCTCTTGGTCATACCTATTTTCATTATTTTCCGTAGGAAGAAAAAATCTCATCTAGAGCAAAAAGTCTTTCGCTAAACACTCTGCTGATTATCGGTCAATCTACAAAGCGCGAGTTTCTATATTCTTTTATGGCAGCCTATAACGAGTAAAATTAGCATATACAGACAGTATTCTATCGAAAATCGTACAGTTTATATTCATTCGTCGTCGCTATCCTATTACATGCTATATATGCACGAGACTGTCGTAATCGATCAGCACCAGTGTGAAGAAAACATTGATCACTCGTTATCAATAAGTCTTATAACTGGTATATAGTATCGAAATTCTTAATGCGTTTCAAAGTACTAAAGTTCATCAATTTTTATATATCGGTAACATATATTTTGCGATCTACTGTCTCCGAGAATGATCCGCGTCTTTCGATCCCTCCCCAGTGTCGTTCGTATCTCTCGGATGATCCTTGGAATTTCTGTCTTTGAAATCGCGAGAATGATAATAATGATTGCTGTCTCTTCGCGATGCTTGACCTCTGTACTTGCGATTGCTGCCGTCGCGACCGTAATTGCGGTACTCGCGTGATCGATAAGACGGTGATTCGAAACTAGCCGCTTCCGCTGATTTCACGCTGCCATTCTGGAGTTGCGGTAAAACGGTCGAGTCTGTATCTGCATGATGATCTTGCTTCTCGTGCCGATTCGTACTGTATCTGTAATAATTCACATAGTTTTTATATATCCTATCCTTCGATGTCTCGTAATAACTCCTTAGACTTTTCAAAGATCTTGAGACTTTCATAATAGATTTTAAAAAGTTATATAGAATAAAATTCTGTAAGCTGTACCTCGGTGATCTACGATGCCAATAGCTCGGTATTGGTAACGGTGGAAATTTACGAGAGTTCTGTTCCTGTGTCGTACTCGTGGGCGAACCACGATTGTAATGGCTATTATTACCGTCACGGGAACGCCCACCTCTGCTTGTACTAGCGTTGTTTGCTGAAGAAGCTGCACGTAGCGAAGCTATTTCTTTCTTTTGATCCATATTTTCCTTGTGTAACCGTTTCACCATTGCGTATGATTCCTCTAAAAGTACAACTAAGCTCGCTTGTACGGGATCTCCGACTTGAATTCCAACGTCCGTTACTTCGATTTTGTTCTTCTGGTCTTCTGTTACATCCAATCTTCTACAGAATAAAGGAAAGAAACGTTAGTTTACTATCACGGCGTCTATGTAATATATTTTCGTATAAAACTAACTTTTTTTGCTGCTCTATAATATTCGACAAGTACTGGTTATGTGTTTTTGCCTCTTGCAATGACACCTTAATGTCTTGTAAGTCTTTCTCCAGAAGTTCCACTTGCAGAGGTGTTACATTGACACATATTGGGCTACCCTGTAAATTCAAATCAAAATTGAAATCTTTATATCGATGCTCAAAGTACATTTTTTGAGTGGAAAGTGATATCAAAGACACATAAATATTATAAATGCTCATAATAATATTATGTCGTAAGTACCTTTGATTTCGTAAACCCATTTCCATTATCTTCGGGTGAAGAAGGACTACTAGCCGCACCATAGGGTGCTCTTTTGGAAAATACTAATTGAAATTGCAGATCTGCAGAGGTTTATAAAATGGATTAGAACCAAGATATTCAAGGAAAGTCAATATTTTCATTACCTCTGTTTCTTTGACGTAAACATTCTATTTCTTGATGTAAGGCAACTAAAGTTGCCTGATGTTGCTCCTGTAAAAATTTCATGTTCTGCTCCAGTTGCATGACTCTATCTACATTCAGACCTTGATGCCTAACATGTGCGAATCCATCGTTTCTCTCAGTCAAAGAAACCAAGTCAGGTGGTGCTTTCTTTCCCTTTAAGAATGATTATACAAGGCTTACAATTCAAATTCGGAACCTTCTTCTCTTCTATTTAAATAAATGATCAAACAAAAATATAATCTCATCGATGAATTTTACAATATGTACAAGAATTTATGCTCCAAAGTGCCAACCGATAATTAAAACACATAACTAAAGACATGGATATATATTTTGATTAAATTAAAGAGCAATATTTAACATATTGTGCTATAACATTTAATGAGAATATAAGATGACTCACTTGAGGGAAGGGCACTGTTGGTAGTTTCATTAGCACTTTAGATGTCATCCCGAAGTTGTCGGTCAATATCAATTAAAAATTAATTGTCAACACGCTAATTGCTTCGCCCTTGTCTATTTTATGGTACTTATTGTTTCTTCCAACGATCCAAGAAATATCACGCATTCAAACACCACACATCAACACGATCTTGCGGCTTAAGCTTACTAGCGCAAGTGAAGCTTCTTTAAGTGTTCTAGCGTAGGCAATCTGAAGGAAAATACATAATATCACAATTATATCACTCGCAACAAATATAAAAATCTAAATATCGCTAAAACGACGAAAAATCCACTTCACACTTGCGACCACACTGCAGAGATATTTGTGCTGTTTCTCGAAAACATAAATCTAAGGAACCATTTCATCATTTGTTTTGCACTTGTGAAAGTAAGTGGAGGAAGGAGATGAAGAAACGTAATAGCTATTAATCGAGCGTTACTGTGTAACGATCTATTTTTAAATCGAACACGTCGTAAAATCGACAAAAACATTTCTTTCTTTTTAACGCAACTGTTACTAAAAAAAAAAGGCATGGATAATCGTAGGATTTAAAAACACTTCCCTCGGAGCCTACAACTTATACAACGCCATGCCAAAAGTGGGAGTCTATACTTAAATGATACCGAGAAACAATTCGATTGCGAGA